CAAGAGGGAGACCATACACCTAGAGAGAGACCCTGTGAAGACGGCTCCATCTGGACGGCATTCGTCACTGTACCACAGTCGGAGGCGTCCTGTCTTGCGGACCAGGTGATGCTCCACCATCAACGATTGAGCCAGCAGTAACTCTGGAGAAGAGTTATGTACTCTAGTCGTTGATTCCTGGCCCACTTCAGCAGACTAGTCATCAGCAACGTAGTGTTCCTCCCCCCTGCCGCCTTCACACAAAGTCCCCGCAGTGACTCGATTAATTGGGGACGGTGCTGGTAAGGTTCAAGACTCCCGTGTGCTAGCTGCCCACAGGAGTTCTGAGTTGCCCCATTGCGCTGGTGAATCAAAGGGTCTGTGCAACTCACGTCGCCCCAAGTCCATGCATCACGGTTACTGTCGATGACGATGACATGGGCGGCCCCGCAAGCCAAGGACGCGATTTCAACCGGAGAACTGCGCGATTCTGTCGCTGTGCTGTGTACCTCTCGTGTATAGCACACCATAAGTGTTGTAAGTGTACTCGAGGCCGCCCAGTTTACCTCCAGGGGATTCCCAATCTCGCTGAAGATGACTTCAGCAGGGACTGGCATTGTGCGGAGGAGACAGTCGGGCGCCATATGCTCGTCGATATATACTTTGCGCCCCATATAAGTGTTATCTGTTGTCACAGGTCTTTCCATGATCTCGCTTGATTATTGATAACAGAAACCTCCACCCTACCTTCCTCCGTAGTAGTGGAGGCAACCCCGCATTGCCCGCGAGAGTTCAGACCCCAGGAGAAACTACATGACACAGGGTTGCACCGACGTAGCGGAACAAGCTTCGACGCTACATCCGATTATCATCAGTAACGATGACGGTGCTGAAGTTAGTACACGCCACCTAAGGGGTGGTCTTGTTTCATTATGGACTGCGAGTTTCCGAGTGTCCCTTGGTCATCATTTCAACGATGGGGATGAGAAAGCTCATGGAAACGGAGTCTCGAAAACTCTTGGGTGACGTGCGTTTCGCAATAGAAGTATATGGGTCTCAGCTCACCATTTTAGCTCTAATGCCCTGTCGCTTGATAGAGCCTAGCAGTGTCGGTGAGGGTGCGTATATGAACGTCCCACCGGTTC